GGGTTTCTTCCCTTGAGCAGCAACTTGTTTGCTGTTCTTCTTGAAGTTCCCCTTCTTCTTCCCTTTGCCCTTTTTCTTGAAACTGGTGGTGGTCTTGTTAACCATCAACACTTGATGCTCCTTCTTGATTTCTACCTCCGCGGCTTTTAGCATTGCAAAGAGCTCGGGAATAGTCTTGTCGATCCCTTGCATATTATAGTTCATCACGAAGCTCTTGTAGCTTGGTGGCAGTGATTGAAGAATTCTGTCAATGACACTATCATCAGGAAGATTAACTCCCAGTTGAATCAAGTGATTATTATACCCAGACATTTTTGAGTATGTGTTCACTGACAGAACTATTCTCCTCCGTCTTGCGTCTATAGAACTTATTGGAGACTTCATATATCTCAATCCGGGCATTTGCTTGAAATATTAACTTCAACTCCTGGAACATCTCATATGCTCCATGACGTTCAAAACATCGTTGAAGACCCGGTTCTAAGCTGTAAAGCATGGCACACTGAACTATCGAGTAGTCATCAGCTTTGCTCTGCCAGACGTTCTTAACATCGTCAGTTGCATCAGCAGCAAGCCTGGCACCCAGCGGTGCTTCCAGGACGTAATTCTTCTGTGCAGCAATGAGGATAATCCTCGGGTTACGGACCCAGTCCATGTAATTTCTACAATCATCTTTCAACTTTGCTTTCTCAAGGAACGCATTAAAATTCAACGGAACAACAGCACGAGCCATCTATCTACAACAAACATAGACAAGCAAAATACTATCAGGTACTAAGTTCATGATAAATTTAAGTTCAATTAATCATATTACTTAAGAACTCCCACCTAGATAGACATCCCTCTAATCTTCTAAGTGATTACGTGATCCATATCAACTACACCATGTCCGATCGTCACGTGAGATGGAGTAGTTTCAACGGTGAACATCAATATGTTGATCATATCTACTATATGATTCACGCTCGACCTTTCGGTCTCCGTGTTCCGAGGCCATATCTGTTATATGCTAGGCTCGTCAAGTTTAACCTGAGTATTCTGCGTGTGCAACTGTTTTGCACCCATTGTATTTGAACATAGAGCCTATCACACCCGATCATCACATGGTGTCTCAGCACGAAGAACTTTCGCAACGGTGCATACTCAGGGAGAACACTTCTTGATAATTTAGTGAGAGATCATCTTAAAATGCTACCTTTAATCAAAGCAAGATAAGATGCATAAAGGATAAACATCACATGCAATCAATATAAGTGATATGATATGGCCATCATCATCTTGTGCTTGTGATCTCCATCTTCGAAGCACCATCGTGATCACCATCGTCACCAGCGCGACACCTTGATCTCCATCATAGCATCGTTATCTTTACGCCATCTATTGCTTCTACGACTATCACTACCGTTTAGTGATAAAGTAAAGCAATTACAGGGCATTTGCATTTCATACAATAAAGCGACAACCATATGGCTCCTGCCAGTTGCCGATAACTTCGGTTACAAAACATGATCATCTCATACAATAAAATATAGCATCACGTCTTGACCATATCACATCACAACATGCCCTGCAAAAACAAGTTAGACGTCCTCTACTTTGTTGTTGCAAATTTTACGTGGCTGCTACGGGCTTTAGCAAGAACCGTTCTTACCTATGCATCAAAACCACAACGATAGTTCGTCAAGTTAATGATGTTTTAACCTTCGCAAGGACCGGGCGTAGCCACAGTCGATTCAGCTAAAGTGAGAGACAGACACCCGCCAGTCACCTTTAAGCACGAGTGCTCGTAACGGTGAAACCAGTCTCGCGTAAGCGTACGCGTAATGTCGGTCCGGGCCGCTTCATCTCACAATACTGCTGAACCAAACTATGACATGCTGGTAAGCAGTATGACTTGTATCGCCCACAACTCACTTGTGTTCTACTCGTGCATATGACATCTACGCATAAAACCAGGCTCGGATGCCACTGTTGGGGAACGTAGTAAATTCAAAAAAATTCCTACGCACACGCAAGATCATGGTGATGCATAGCAACGAGAGGGGAGAGTAATGTCCACGTACCCTCGTAGACCGTAAGCAGAAGCGTTATGACAACGCGGTTGATGTAGTCGTACGTCTTCACGATCCGACCGATCCAAGTACCGAACGTATGGCACCTCCGAGTTCAGCACACGTTTAGCTCGATGACGATCCCCGGTCTCCGATCCAGCAAAGTGTCGGGGATGAGTTCCATCAGCACGACGGCGTGGTGACGATGCTGATGTTCTACCGGCGCAGGGCTTTGCCTAAACTCCGCGACGATATGACCGAGGTGGAATATGGTGGAGGGGGGCACCGCACACGGCTAAGGAACGATCACGTAGATCAACTTGTGTGTTCTAGGGTGCCCCCCTGCCCCCGTATATAAAGGAGGGAGGGGGAGTTGCAGCCGGCCCCCAAGGGGTGCGCCTGGAGGAGTCCTACTCCCACTGGGAGTAGGACTCCCCCTCTTGCCTTGGTGGAGAAGGAAAGGGGGGAGGGGAAAGAGGAAAGGGGGGCGCCGCCCCCCTTCCTTGTCCTATTTGGACAAGGGGGGGAGGGGGCGCGCGGCCTGCCCTGGCCGGCCCTCCTCTTCTCCCTTATGGCCTATGTAGGCCCAATAACCCCCGGGGGGTTCCGGTAACCCCCTGGTACTCCGGAAAAATCCCGGTTTCTCCCGGAAGGTTTCCGATATCCAAATATAGGCTTCCAATATATCAATCTTTATGTCTCGACCATTTCGAGACTCCTCGTCATGTCTTGGATCATATCCAGGACTCCAAACAACCTTCGGTACATCAAAATATATAAACTCATAATAAAATTGTCATCGTAACGTTAAGCGTGCGGACCCTACGGGTTCGAGAACTATGTAGATATGACCTAGAACTATTCTCGGTTAATAACCAATAGCGGAACCTGGATGCTCATATTGGCTCCTACATATTCTACGAAGATCATTATCGGTCAAACCGCATAACAACATACGTTGTTCCCTTTGTCATCGGCATGTTACTTGCCCGAGATTCGATCGTCGGTATCTAATACCTAGTTCAATCTCGTTACCGGCAAGTCTCTTTACTCGTTACATAATGCATCATTGTGTAACTAACTCATTAGCTACATTGCTTGCAAGGCTTATAGTGATGTGCATTACCGAGAGGGCCCAGAGATACCTCTCCGACAATCGGAGTGACAAAACCTAATCTCGAAATATGCCAACCCAACATGTACCTTTGGAGACACCTGTAGTACTCCTTTATAATCACCCAGTTACATTGTGACGTTTGGTAGCACCCAAAGTGTTCCTCCGGTAAACGGGAGTTGCATAATCTCATAGTTACAGGAACATGTATAAGTCATGAAGAAAGCAATAGCAATATACTAAACGATCAAGTGCTAGGCTAACGGAATGGGTCATGTCAATCACATCATTCTCCTAATGATGTGATCCCATTAATCAAATGACAACACATGTCTATGGTTAGGAAACATAACCATCTTTGATTAATGAGCCAGTCAAGTAGAGGCATACTAGTCACTATATGTTTGTCTATGTATTCACACATGTATCATGTTTCCGGTTAATACAATTCTAGCATGAATAATAAACATTTATCATGATATGAGGAAATAAATAATAATTTTATTATTGCCTCTAGGGCATATTTTCTTCAGTCACATCCAGTAGTGGTTCATCTAGATGTCATGGACCTGCAAAAACAATTAAAGAGTGCAAATAATAAGGTAACATCGCCAATAAATTGCAGATTTTCAAATCAACTATAGTTATTCAGAAAACATGGTTGCTGCAACTTTAAGCCAAGCAGTACACATTCATGTCAAATATACATGTGTAAGATACTAGAAGCAGTCATTGCATATCTATGTGTACTGCTTGATTTTACGCCAAGCAGTGCAATAGTACATCAATTACACTAAGCCTCAAACGAGGTTCACCAAAGTTGCAATAGGCTGCATGGCTCGAACGGCCCGCATCCCTCAGATCTCATAGCTATGGGCCATCACGGATGAACTTAAAAGTAAACTAGTTTTAGCCACAAGCCCCAGGTACAAAGAAATATACTAAAATGGCTTGAAGCTAAAACTAATCAACCATTCATCTCTGGTACTAAAAAAATTTCTTCATTGGGACACTGCTACTTGAGCTACATACGACAGATAAAGCTACTCAATAGGAAAATAATACACTCAATGATACACTGTGATGTATAGTTGAAACCAAAGGATAAGTTGAACGAAACTGCAACGAAATAGATGATTTCTCTTCTATAGTTAAAACTCAAGTATGGTTTTCGAGTCGCGACTCATGCGAGTCACTCTGGGGCAGCGACTCGAAAGAAGTCGAGCCTAAGTTGTGACTAGTCGCGACTCAGAGTCACGAGTTGACACTAAGCTGAGTCAACCATATTTTTGCAACTCATAGACTAGTCGTCGACTAGTCGCGACTAGTCGAGCTACTCGAAATCCATGCTCAACAGGAAAATAATACACTCAATGATACACGTGAATTAGAAATGCCCATTATACATAGCCCGAAATGCCCGCTATACACAGTCGGGAGTCTGTTCTACAAAAAAACACTAATCAACCAAGCAAGTAAAACCTTCTGAAAGTAGATGATCTCTTATCCATCCTTGATATATTATGACTTCTACTAGAACTGCATTTACTATGAACTGCAACACTTTGGTAACATGTAAGCAACAATAATTACTATCCCTGGTAGATATATACTACACCTCTTGATTTTGATGGACAAACACTCATACATTCAAAAATTTACTGAACATAAGCAAATCATATGTCTATTTCGAAACAGAAGAAGTGATACCAACTCATATACCAAACCATCGTTAACTCATAGTAGCTTGAATTGACGACTGAAATGAAGTAAAATTCAGAAGATAGATGTCTCTGATCCATCGCTACAGTACCACGAGATGAACACGACTGCACCTATGTCATTAACTTCTTGTACGATCCCTGCAAGGAAACAACACCGATAGTTTCAGTCTCCAAATCCGCACCAGATTCAGATGCACCTATGACCAGCACTTGATCAAACATGGATCGAATTGAAGGACAAGTGTTACCTTCATATCGTCGGCTTGGTGGGAGAGCTTGTCGAGCATCTTCTTATGCTCCTTCTCTGGCTCCTCCGCCATCTGCACGTAGCTCTGCATCTGCATCTGAAGAGGAACAACACACATGGACATGGAAGGGGAGCCATCACATCTCAGGATCGATCGATCGGCGCGCTAAGGATGGATGGCAAAGGGGATGAGAGGAGTCAGTCACCTTGATGCCCTTGGGAAGGTCCAATCTCGTCGGGGCCTTTTCAACCGCCCGTGGATTAGCTGGGATCATAGGAGGTGGCAGCGACGAGGAGAGTCATGGGGAGAGGGAGAGAAGAGGCATCCATGGTGACCTGCCGTCACCAGCGGTGCTCGTCCAGCGTGGCGGGGAACTGGGCTCGACGGTGGGATCAGCGCGGGGGCGAGGGGAGGGCGGAGGTGGCATGCAGCGTGTGGCGTGCCGCGTGGTGAGAGATAGGGGTGAGCCAGAGAGGGAGGGACGGAGGCATGGACGGTGAGCGTGCGTGGACGACGAGGTGCGGCGTGGATCTGTGCAGCGCGAGGCGTGGGGAAGAACTACGGTGGGGAAAAGGGAGCGGCAGCGGCGATTGGGAGAAGGGGTCTTGGGCTTCATTGGTGGACGAGGATGAGAGGGACATGTGGTGATTCGAGAGGGGCCGAGGCCATGGACGGCGGGGAGCTCCGCCGGAGGGAGGTGGCGGCCATGATCTAGAATGGAGGAGGTGGCGGCTACGATTTGGAAGGGAGGAGGAGTGGTGTGCGGGGAGAGAGGGGCTAGGGTTCGCTCATGGTGGGTTTGTTTGTTTTTTTACGGTAGCTCGCAGTGGGTGGGTGAAAGGGTGAGGGGTGTGGGCCGTTGGATCTGGAATTATCCGACGGTCTCTGATGCTTTATCCGCATGACATGCTCATAGACCAATCAGAATGAAGAACGGACTTTGATGAGGTCATGACCATCTAAATTGGTCATAATAATCGACTAACAATAGGTGCTACCGGTCAGCCAGATGATTTTGTCTAGAAATCATCCACCTAGCAGTCGCCCGATCTGCGCATTGGTGATCGTTTGATCATATTAATATGTCACGACAGCATCGAGCATGAAAAAGCTTCAACGCAGCACCGATGACATCCCCATGAACCTCTGTTCCAGCTCTCAACGGCACGCCAAGAGCTCCAACGCAGCACCACGGTGCCCGGCGAAGCTCCATTGCAGCATGACCTCCAACGCAACACCACGACGCCAGGTGGTAAGTTTCCTTCACTTTTTATGACAATGTTTTAAGTTTCCTAGTAAGTAGTAGTGTTATTCCCTCGAATAACGAAAAATCAATTTTCCATTTTACGAGTGCCCAAAATGAATATTTTTTGTGAAGGACCTACCATATATTTGTTGCAAAATTGGACCAAAACAATTTTCTAAAATTCTAGGCCATATTTAATGTACAATTGATCAAATGATTGGGTGTCAAAAGTTTTGACCCACCTCTGGTGAAAAAGAAAAATTTCCGCCGATTCGGCAGGAACTGGGTCAAATTTGAACTGCGGCTGCCTCATAATTTGCTCTTTATTTTTTCTAAAAATCATTTCTTGGTACATAAGTATCAATTTAATCATAGAAACACCAAAAAAATAAAAGATTCAACCAATAGCTAGGAACAGTCATTCCCGCCGTTTTGATCGCATTTTGAAACGGGCATAAAAATTCAAAAAAAAGAAAAAAAATGGAAAACCTCTGCATTGTGTCATTACATGTGACCAAGTAACCAGGAAAAATAATAAACTTGTAATATAGTAATTATTTTTAAAAAGTGTTCTCAGAAATGAGCTATCATGTGTGAAGATTCATGGCTTTCAAGCCAGATGATCAATCTTATGGCCACATTCATGACATAGTTTGTTCAAATGACCTCATATCGTGCACAAGGGTGCATATTGGAATGGCAAACAATGTTTCCTATGGGAGTTTTCATTTTCTTTGCTCGTAAAATTCATTTCCATTTTTCGAGTGCCCGAAATGAGTTTTTTTGTGAAGGACCTACAATATATTAATTGCAAAATTGGACCGAATCAATTTTCTAAAATACTAGGCCATATTTAATGCACAATTGACCAAATGGTTGGGTTTCAAAAGATTTTATCCACCTGTCGTGAAAAAGACAGATTTCCGCCGATTTAGTTGGAAGCGGGTCAAATTTGAACTGTGGCTGCCTCATAGTTTTCTCTTTGTTTTTTCCAAAAATCATTTCTAGGTACATAAGTATCTATTTAATCAGAGAAGTATCAAAAGTTTTCCAAGATTCAACCACTAGCTAGGAACTATCAAGCCCGTCGTTTTGACCGGATTTTGAAATGGGCATAAAAAATTAAAAAAAAAAAAAAAATTGGAAAACCTTCGCATTGTGTCATTATATGTGCTCAAGTTTCCAGGAAAAATAATAAACTTGTAATATGACAATTATTTTAAAAAAGTGTTCTCAGAAACGAGCTATCATGTGTGAATATTCATGGCTTTCAAGCCAGATGATCAATCTTATGGCCACATTCATGGAATAGTTTGTTCAAATGATGTCATGTTGTGCACAAGGGTGCATATTGGAATGCCAAACAATGTTGCCTAAGGGAGTTTTCATTTTCTTTGCACGGATAATTCATTTTCCATTTTTCGGGTGCCCGAAATGAGTTTTTTTTTGAAGGACCCACAATATATTTATTGCAAAATTGGACCAATTCAATTTGCTAAAATACTAGGACATATTTAATGCACAATTGAACAAATTGTTGGGTTTCAAAAGCTTTTATCCACCTCTCGTGAAAAAGACAAATTTCCGACGATTTAGTTGGAAGCGGGTCAAATTTATACTGTGGCTGCCTCATAGTTTGTCCTTTATTTTTTCGAAAAATCATTTCTAGGTACATAAGTATCTATTTAATGAGAGAAACATCAAAAGTTTTCCAAGATTCAACCACTAGCTAGGAACTGTCAAGCCCGTCGTTTTGACCACATTTTGAAACGGGCATAAAAAATTCAAAACAAATCAAAAAATCAGAAAACCTTCGCATTGTGTCATTATATGTGACCAAGTTTCCAGGAAAAATAATAAACTTGTAATACGGCACTTATTTTAAAAAAGTGTTCTCAGAAATGAGCTATCATGCGTGAAGATTAATGGCTTTCAAGCCAAATGATCAATCTTATGGCCACATTCATGGCGTAGTTTGTTCAGATGATCTCATATTGTGCAAAAGGGTGCATCTTGGAATTCCAAACAATGTTGCCTAAGGGAGTTTTCATTTTCTTTGCACGAAAATTCATTTTCCATTTTCCGAGTGCCTGAAATGAATTTTTTTGTGAAGGACCTACCATATATTTATTGGAAAATTGGACCTAATCAATTTTATAACATACTAGGCCATATTTGATGCACAATTGACAAAATGATTGGGTGTCAAAAGTTTTGATCCACCTCTGATGAAAAAGACAAATTTCCGCCGATTCAGTTGGACGCAGGTCAAATTTTTAACTGCAGTTGCCGCATAGTTTGCTCATTATTTTTTCCAAAAATCATTTCTAGGTACATAAGTATCTATTTAATCAGAAATACATGGTTTGGTGGCGATACATCGAGGTTTGGACGATGGTCGAGGGCCCCAATTGTAGAGCGCGTATGCTCGCATGCCCGTCGCGTGGTCACCGCTTGACCGTGGTGTTGCCATGCGTTCTGGGTGGACTAGGAATGTCTAGTGGGTTTGGCACTCCCATGTAGGTACTAGGAAGAAAATGATAACATAAGATTCTCATGAGGAGACCGAACTATGCTCAAACATGAATTAGTAGCCAAGTGTTTGATTAGCGGTACGGAAATGCACATGGCCAATGGGTGTGAGTTTTGGCTGAGGTTGATCATATACTAAGAAGAAAGTCTTCACAAATTTTTTGGGAAATCAAGAATATATAAATAACACTTCCTTCACAAAGTGCTGCTCTGAAAAGAATAGGAAAATGAATATTGTTGAATCATTTTTTAACTAGGCAAGGAAGGTTTTTGACATATTTGATGAAGATATGATCCAAAAAAATTATGAGAATGGCCATGGGAATTTTAGGAATAACAGAAATATAGGTTGCTTCACAACCTAGGGCAAAAATTGACACATGGACATGACACATAGGCAAAACTGGTGAGATGGCGCCTAGTCATCGCAACCCAGCACAATTTACAAGGCTATGACCATCTATATGGGTCGTTAACAACTAGAAATAAGGCAGCGGACCAGTGCTGTTTGCTTTATGACCATTTCGTGTAAAGAAATTCCGACCTTTCTGACCAAAATGGTCTCAATGGTTTAGGGTTTGGAGCCCCCCGAACAGCTTTTGACCAATTGGTCTCAAATGGTCATAGATCTATGACCAATTCTTCCAGGGTCACTGACAGAAGGTCACTAGTTAATATATTTCTTGTAGTGCTTGTTGTGAGAGAAGCTCTGGTTTGCGAGAAGCTTATACCCAAACCTGCCACAAATGGGACAAATTTTTACCATGGCATGTCGATGGCGTTCCATGATATCATGCCAAGTTTCATGAATTTCAGATGAGTTTTTGATTTACTATAATTTTGAAACCACGTATCTCAATGTTAGCGGTTGAGCAACAGTGTCAAGGTGTTTGACATTCATGCTCACTTCTTGCATGTGACCTAAGCTTGCAACCAAGGACAAACATTTGATTTTGGAACCCGTTTTTATGGACTCGAGCATGTGCATGTAGTTCAATTTTGAATTATGCACATAAATGCCTTGAAAACTCAATTAACTTATAAAAATATCCAAACGATCCCCGAAAAAATCCACAATTAAGGATGACACTCCTGTTGTTCTATGTTGACACCAAGAAAAAAATTGAAAGGAAGAAGAGGCGAAGAATATCGTTTTGTCCACAAAGGTGACATGTTTCCCTAACGGAACCATGAGGCTTCTTGTGACAAGCTCTGGTTTGTGAGAAGCTTATACCATAACCTGCCCTAAATGGGACAATATTTTTTACCCCAGCATGTTGATGCCATTCCATGATAGCATGCCAAGGTTCATGAATTTCAGGCGTGTTTTGGATTTACTAGAATTACAAAAAGCAAGTACCTCAACATTTACCGGAGAGCCACGGTGTCGTGGTGTTTGAAATTCATCCCCATTTCTTGCATGGGACATAAGCATAAACCCATGGATACAATATATGATTTTAGAACCCATGTTGGTGCACCGAAGCATGTGCATGTAGTTTAATTTTGAATTGTGCACCTGAAATGGCTAGAAAACCAATTTAATTTATCAAATGTCCAAACCAACCCTGAATAATTCCAATTTTTTTACGACACACGTATAGTTGCATGTTCACTCCAGATAAAAGGTCTAGCAATTCAAACACCGTCCATTGCCGTTGTGACCCCATTATGTATTCAAATCCAGATGAAAAATCAAGTAGATCCCACACAGTTTATTATCACCAACCGTGTGAGATGCAGTACAAAATATCCTGGAACACCGTTGGTGTATAGTACGCCTATGTGTGACACTCCAAAAATTTTGTGGTTTTTGCTTTCAGAAAGAGCCTTGCTTGGTTTGAAGAAGGTCATTTAAACCCTTCTTAAAAACCCTCTTCTAATTTTGCCCTCTCAAAAATTCTTTCTTGGATTTAGTTTCTTCTAAAAAAGAAAACCTTTTTGGTTTTGGGCTTTTATTTGAGTTTGATCCATTCTTCTTTTACCATGCCTCTTATGGTAAAACTTCCCCAAAGCCCCTCCTTCCACTTTGGTACAACCCAAACATTCTGTCCAAACTAACAAAATTCATTTTTGGATTTTATTCCAATTATTTCTCTTCCCATAATAATTCTGTCTTTTCTTTTGAGCCTAGGTGATTTGCAAAGCAAGTACCTTAATACATTTGATTTTTGACCTCAACTCAACTCCTATGGATAGTCCTTTGCACCCACAACCTAGAACCATCTTGATCCACTCTTTTTCTTTTCAAATATTTCAAATTTCACTCTCTGCAAGTTTGGACCAGATTTGCCAAATTTGCTGAAATTCATATCTACACTCCTCCAAAAATTCCACCAAAATTCAGGCAACCTATAGTTGCAACGAGAGACCCCTCCACCAAAAATCAGCTCAAGGAAAAATCCCTACATGCCAGAATCATTCTGTCGAACACT